GTTTTCATTTTATTTGGATATGTGGTATTATATATATTTAATTATTTAATAATATATAACGTAATATAAAAGAATTATAAAAAAATATTGTCCACATATTATTACTCTATTTGTTAAGTAATTAATGAAATTCATTGCATTTTTCATTTAAGAAAAGAAAAAAAAAAAACTAGAAGGATATTTTTTTTTATTCATATCTTAAACTCTATTTGAATATTTTTGTTAATAATTATAATTCAGAATATAGAACTTATTTAAGTTACATATTCAATTATTTTCAATTTTATTAAATTTATAAGTTATTATATATTTAAATTTAATAAATAAATACATAATATAATTTTTTAATCTAATTCAAGTACACACAACAATTCACAAGTAATTATAAAATCTTGAACTTAAATTTAATATTAAATTCAAATATAATTCAAATTACTCACAAATTACTTTATTTTGTAACAACTCTAGCCTATAATACAAAACCCTAGGTTCCATCGAATCCAGCTGCTAGGTTTGTCGAAACCTAGTTTTGTTTGGTATCGATGAACCAGCACAGCCGTGTTGGGTATCGACGAACCCAACACAAATTTTTTATCATTTTCTTTTTTGTTTTTCTTGGTCAAAAGAATAGCGGGAATAAAATTGGAAAAACATAAAATTAATCTTCCACCTGAACGACCAATCTCCAATCAGCTTGGATTAGATCTATAGTGAAGCATTTTAGTAAAGTTGTTAGATCCAGAGGCTTCCTCGGACAAGGTTTGTTCATTTTTGAACTTCCTCATCATGGGATTCTCTTCTTTGATTGATTCCTTTTGTTTGACTATGTTCTAGGCCTTGGTAATGGGTTTCATTTTCTGCCTATTTTTGGATATTCAACGTTAGTAGTTGCCGTAGAATGGTTGCTTTTGATACTTAATTCATGCTCTTTTCCACGATAATCCATTGATGGGTTCACTGATTTTGTGTCAAAATTAGTTTTTGACTCTTTGGAGATAATCATGTGTGAATTGGACTTTTTATTGGTATAATTTAAATTATTGATTTTTTT